GTTTGTTAAAGTATTCTAGATCTCCTTTATTGTTGTCTTTTCTATGATAATGTTTACCAAAGTATTCTGGATCTCCTTTATTGTTATCTTTTCTACGATGCTGGATAGAACTTTATCCGCCAATATTAGGTGTAAGTTGGTGATTGCATTGTCATCCATTTTCTATAACTTTTTATTATTTATAAAATCTTAGAGTCTATCTCTAATTTGCTAGTCAAAGGTGTCTTGCCCAATTATATGAGTGATAACACCTATGATATGATACATACTCTTTTTTATTATTATTTATTTGATATTTTTTTATTTTATATTATCTATTGCATATATTGTGATGTCCATGGATCTATACATTAAAAATCAGATCGTGATGAGATCATGATAATGAGACCGATTCATCCTTAAACACAGAACCTAAATAATCCTAGTCATAGGTCACTCTAGAGGGACATTGAGATGACCAGATAGATTAGTGTGTTGTATACCCATCCATATAATAGATGTGGTTGGTCTCATAGTTGCTTGTATGGGGACACTAGGGGTATCGCGTAGGTGCTTATTAAAGAATGAGTTCACTGATTGATCCGCTCACGGAATACTAGATGGTTGATGATACCTCATTGTCAAACAGCGATTTCATCGTCCCAATAGTATATCTGATCCTTAGACTTGAGACACCAAAGATATTCTGTATGAGTACTCCACTCTTTGATATCGAACTTATAGACCTAGAAGATCCAAATCTAGCATAACTGGTCATCGGGAGTGGTAGCCGACCTTACAAGGGCTATTGAGTATCGAAAGAGGATTATCCACTCTCAATATCATGAAAAGAATATCTCATGTGTTTTCGCTTAAGCAAATCCCTATCTAGGGTCATTCGGATTGAGAGAGAAAGAGTTCTCTAAGAGAATCTGATTAGAGTGAGACTTGAGTATATTTCTTATGAGCTTGATAGCACCATGCCCAGTAAACAAGCTTTGGGATATTAGATGGATGAGGGACTATAAATACATAATAACTAATGATAAACAAGTCCAATGGATTATATTCCCCTGTATTGTCTGGGAACTACGACGTAATGGCCTAGTACATCCATAGTCGATAAGTCAAGTAAATTATTATGGGGATAATAATTCACTAATCCAGAAGAAGTTCTAATATGTATGACTTACAACCAACTCGATATTGGCCTATAGAATCACACACATATGGTTGGTGTTTCGATGAGTATATGTTCAGATATAAGATATCCGTTGGAGCCCCTTTCTTATTGGATATCCAATAAACCCCTAAATTATTAGATCCTATGGATAGGATCCTATGGATGATATCCAATAAGAGTTAATAAGAGATCATTAGGTAGAGACTTACTAATCTAAGATGCTTGGATAGTTGGATGGAGATCCAGTACCCAATATGGTAGGATTCATTAGGGTTAAGTTGATAGGGGGCCTCTATAAATAGGAGGGAACCAAAAGGTCATAGGCTAGAACCTCTTTTGGTTGTCATCTCCTATTCTTCTCTCTCCTTCTCCTCCTCAACCAACAACCTCTATTTGGGGCATGTGGACAACAAGAAGAACTGGCGCCTTCTTAATTACAAGGTGCGCGTAGCGATGAGATTTGGACAGTAATTTGATGAGCATCTTTGCAGCCCCTACTATGTGGATCACCGTTAGAGATGAGGACACTTGACCTCCCTCATCCTCTCCCACAGATCTATAGGATTTCAGGGATATACGATCTCCTTAGGGGACACACCCCTTAATATGCTTGGTTTTTAGTTTCGTGAGTTTTGCATACCAATATTTGCATAACGATAAAATCTTTTTGTAAAAATATAAGATCTTCCTTTCTATTCCTCTACTGCGCATGTAATGTCGCCCTAAGATTTTCCAATAGTGGTATCAGAGCTAGGTTAGTTCGTGTGAAAGATTGATTTTTAAATTGCATATATTGTGTTTCAGAAAGGCTTTTGACATCAAAATTATTGATGCAAAAGGCGAGAAAGTGCAGTAACTATTGCTGCCCTCATAAGTTGGCCAAAGGCTGCTTGTAGCCCTACAGTAGGCTACCTGCGGGCAGGGGTTGCAGGCGGTCGGTGACCATCTACCCATAGGCAAGCAGCTTGCATGCAGGGATGACGCCCGTTAGCAGGCTGCCTGCACGCAGAGGTGGCCGCCCTTGGACAATGTGGTGGCCTATGCGTAAGATGGCAATTGCTTGAAAGGTGACGATCATATCGCCACGCTACCACAAGGGTGGCGCCTACAAGCCCAACGCCCATGGGCAAGCCACCTATGGGTAGAGGCGGTGGCCAACAAGGTGGCAACGGTCGCAACGCAAGAGGGGTAGGTTTTTAGACAAAAGATAATTTTACCCCTCTCGATTTTAGAAATTTCAATGTTTGTCCTTTCTATCCAAATTACATAAACACCCTTCATAAATCAAAAAATCCCTATATATCCTGAATTTTAGGAAATATATTACTTAATTAAAAGATTTAATTAACTATTATTATTTATCTAGTAGTCTTATATAATGATATATACATATGATGTATAATGTAAACAGATGGTCATGGACCATATGATATGATGTATATTTATGATGTGATTATTATTATTATTATTGAGGCCTATGAGCCCCCATTTTTTCTCATTTATTGTTAGGCATGCATACTTGTGATTATATTATGATTACATGAGGAGGCGTGGTGGGAGCATGGAGTGACGACGAGACCCACAAGGCCGATGATTAAGACACATGGAGATGCCCAGAGATGCCGATGGAACCAATGATGATGAGATGGACGATCACAGGGCATGGAGATACGCCATTACACATATAGATCGTGATGTGAGTGAATAAGCCCACTAGCCCGAGCCCGATCAATTAAGCTGTGGTTCATGAGCATCTAGTGTAATTGCTCATATGACGTATGATTGATTATACACCTACTAGATATGTATATACATTTGTATGCGATATACATATATATTAAATATGTATATGTGTGATTAGGAGACCAAATCAAAATCCTCTCTCTATAATATTAAGTCGGTAAACGTGAGGTAATTAGATTGACCCACGTGGCCTTCCATCATTATTTTGAATCTCGAATTTTGATGATGAAACTAATTGATAGAGTTTATGATCTAAACGTAGGACTAGCTTCAATCATGAAAAAAGACAATTAAAGTATGAAGAATCAATATTGGGCCGGAGTGAAATATGTCAAAAGATTGGACGTCGAGCCGGAGAATCGGTTGATGTATCAGCAGAAGGCTTTGTGCCATGAGTTCGGGCATCGGGCCTAAAAGAGTGGACATTATGCCAAGGAGATCAAAATTGCGGAGATCAACATGCCGATTAGGCAAAAGGTCGCAAAAGAGGACAATGCGCCGAAGGATTGGATGAAGCACCGATGAACTAATGACATGCCAGAAAATATTTGATTAATACTTTATAATAATTGTTAATGAGTCAAGTGAACTATTATGGAGATAATAATTCATTAAGCTAAAAAGAGTTCTAATAGGTATAATTCATAGCCAGCTTTATATTGGGCCTAGAGGGTCACACATATACGGTAGGCATTGCGATAAGTGGATGTTCAGATTTGAGATATTCGTCGGAGCCCCAATCTTATTGGATATCCAATAAGCCCATGAATTATTAAATCCTATGGATGAGATCTAATAAGAGCCAATGAGAGATTATTGGATAGAGATCCACTAATCTAAGAGGCTTAGGTAGTTGGATGAAGATTCAATATCCAATAGGATAAGATCCATTAGGGTTAAGTTGATAGGGGGCCTAAATAGGTGGGAACCAAATATCAGCGTTGTCGTAGCCCTACTATGTGGATCATTGCTAGAGAGGAGGATGCTTGACCTTCTTCATCTTCTTTTACAGATTTGGAGTAATTCAGGGATATACGATCTTCTTAGGTAACACAACTATCTTTGGATTTAAGTTTCATAGGTTTTTGTGGATCAATCTTCGCACTACAACGAACACGTTTTTGGGAAGTTTAGAGTTTTTATTTTCTGTTTTTTCGCTGTGCATGTGATGTCACCCCTAAATTTCCTAGATAGTCGAGTGAATTATTATAGAGATAATAATTCACTGATTTAGAAGGAGTTCTGACTGGTATGTCTTATGGCTAGCTCGATATTGGGGCTAGAGGGTCACACACATATGGTAGATGTTACGACGAATATTTTTATAAGTATTTTATTTTTATAATTTAAAAAATAAAAAAAATAAATTTCTAAAAAATTTACAATACATCCACTTTTCAAAGTGGAACTTTAATCAAAATTTTCAAATAAAAAATAAATATTTTACTATTTAAAACTATTTTTAATTTAAAATTATTTTTTAAAAAAATATATACATAAGAAATTAGAATGAAACCAATAAGTTTGTTCTCCAAACATCTGAAACCGAAATCACTTGGCAATCAAATTTGATTTGAGTTTGCTCTTCAAAAATTTGAAATCGAAATCGTCGATTCTAAAATCGGAATCCCACCAATCAAAATCAACAAGTTTCTTCAAACATTTATTTGCCTTCGATTTAAACATGAAAACCGAAGCATAGCCTAATTCTTGCCTCATCGTGGTGCACCGTCGCGATGCCAACGGCGATGGGGGAGGAGAGATCGGGGATTAGATTTTACCGTGAGAAGGGAGAAAGGTTTCGATTTCTTTCTCGGACCTATCGATCACTATGATCGAGAAATTGGATCTAAAGAAAAGATCCATGTCCAGAATTTGGGGTCTAAAATACGGACCGGTCTAGGCGGATCCGGTCTATAATGTAGGCCGATTCAATTTTGATCCGGTTAAGACCGGTGTTTAATTGGGCAGACATAGTTGCGATCCACATTCGATTATGATCGGATCCGATAACGGGTCGGGTCGGTCATCTCCTACCCGTTAATCAGTTAAGAACGCAGCCGACTTAATTCCGAGGTAATTTGATGCCCCCTTACCAAATTCGAAGCACCATCCATGTCGTTGGAGCTCCGGCCTCATCCACGATTGGGGTTTCCTCTCGCATAGCCCCTGGTTGAGATCTTGTTCTTTGCTTGTTCCCCAGACCCAAAGCCCTCTCTGTCTCGGCTCGAATGGCGGCCGTGCCCACCTCGAAGTCTTCTGCGCTCTCCCTCAAAGATTACCTCAGGCGGTACGAAACCGGCGCCGACGACCAGAAGAAAAAGAGAAACAAGAAGAAGAAGGACAAGCCCCAGTCCCGTACGGTTGGAGGCATTCTTGTAGTGGACGAAGACCCCGTGTGGCAAAAGCCCGTCCAGATTGAACAAGAAGAGTCCGAGCCTTCTGGTAAACCTAGGAAATGATGTATCATCTCTAATTCGAACCTTTGTTTTTCTTATATTTGATTCTTGTCTTTTTATGGGTTGGGATTTTTGGGTGTAGGTGATGAAAAACCCCAAATCGAGGAGGATATCGAGGTCAAACGAATGAAGAGGTTGGACGCGATTCGAGCACGGAAGCCCTACCACGCCATTTCGGAAGATGGGAGCGGTTGGGTCTCGATCTCGGACCCATCGAAGACTTCGAAGTCTGCGGCAATCGGCCGTGATATTTGCCCGCCGCGTCAAGGCCGTGCACGGTTCGACACGCCTTCTCCAGAGCCCAAGGAGAAGCCCTCGGGTTCTCAAAACTCGGATCTCTCCCCGCCACGGCAGAGGCGTGCAGACACACCATCCCCGGAACCTGAGAAAGCGGTTGCTGGTGATGGAACAGCTGATATTTCGCCACCTTGGAGACGGTCGCGCGATGATAATTCCCCGCCAAGAAGAACCAGACGGGCCCATAGCCCTGTCCCCGATCTTTCTCCCCCCAGGAGAAGCCAAAAGGACCTGTCCGATGATCCGAAGGTATCTAGCCGCCAACAAGATCCGGTCGACCTTTCTCCTCCAAGGAGGCGTCAGAGGGTTTCGTCCCCTGACATTTCCCTACCACGTCGGACCCGTCGCCTTTCCCCAGGTGCCGGGGGCCCACGAGCTTCTGACGATGCAGATCTTTCTCCCCCAAGAAAAAGCAGTAAGTGCCTGTCTGATGACCTTTCTCCACCACGGCGGATTCATCCACAGTCACCTGAAGCTATTAGACGTCAGAGTTCCCCCGTGGCTGACCTTTCTCCACCAAGGAAGAGCAGAAAGGAGGCACCTTCTGCAAAGGAGTCAAGAAGGGCCGGATTGTTTTCGGCTAAAGAAATTAAAGAAGAGATCGAAAAGAAGAAGAAAGAGGATACGTCTAGGTGATTATTGAACCATGAGAACTTCAAATTAAGAATGGCAATATTACCTTGCAAGTTCGATCTGATACATCTGATTCTTTATTCAGCACATGAATTCTTCTGACAATATTGCTGACACGTTTAGTAAATTTTGCTTCCAGGTTTGCTTCTATGGATCCCTTTTTGAGTGGCAGAGGTGCAGAGCCAGTATTTCGTGACAAGGAAGGTTAGTTTCTCTTCCCCAATGATGATATTTGAATTGATTTTTAGCAGTATTTGGGAGTTCAGAATATGTTGCTTACTGAAATCCCAGAGGTTTGCATGATGTTGAATGATTGGAAATATTTCTGTAGGAAAACGTATTTCAAAGGAGGAGATGTTGAAGACACAGGAAAAAGAGAAGCCTAAGGTACCTGTTTGCATTTCATGCTTGTTTTTGGAGAGTATTTTATCTTTTTGTTTCTTTGTTTTGTTTTATGTGCATTTTAGGCACTCACCCAGAGATATGTTTTTACTTTTTTTTTGGTTGGAGATCATGGTTTCACCATACCAACTGGTTTTTACTGGACCAAGCAAGGATATGGTTAGGTAGTGGATCACTAAGACACAAAAAATGTATACTTGGTAATTGGTATAAGGATCTGAGGCATAATGTATGAATAGAAGATATCCAGAAAGGCACCTTGCAAGTGTTACTGGTTGTGTTATCCTCCCTCTTCTCTTTTTTCAAAGTTTCCTAAGTACAAAATGCTTCCTTTGTCATTTGTCAAAGGTATAGATAATTTAGTAGCCAACAATTTACCATGTGGCTTAAGCTTTTTCTACAGTTCCTCTCTTCTGCTGCTTATTCAGATGACGAACTTATTAATTGGTAGGTACCAAATGACACTTGTAGGAGTGTCATCGCACCAATGGAAGGTGGTTCAAGAAAACATAGTAGACAACTGATCTCCTTGGTCATTAAATAATCACTTCATTATGCGCCTTAACACTGTTGGAAGTTAACAAAATAAAATACTTACAACAGAATCATTCAAATGGACCTTAGTAGTATAGAGTTGCCATATACTCAATAGAATTCATAATAGTAGAAGTCATGTTGATATATTGACCTTAATAAAGGTAAATGCCAGTTGTGTTTGGTTACTTCAATGAGGATCTGGGTGTCCAGAGGTGTGCATCAATGGGAAACATGATTTGAAGTTGAAGACATGTTTTTAGTGTTTACTGTTACTTTTAAAACCACAAGAGGCAAAGAATGCTATCTTACTGCTGTGAAACAAGGGGAAATTTTTGATGGGAAATGCATGCCTTCCCAGTTATGTTGGTTGAGATTTGTCATACAGGCCAAAAAAAGTAAAATGGAAGAATAAATACAAATGGTTAGTTGGATGAAGTGAAGAAACAATATTCTCACATTTCAGTTTTTGTTATCTTCAATTATAATCCGAGTTAAAAAAGAAAATGTTCAGTGATTTAAAAAGGCGCTTGGGTGAGGGGAGGTGAGGCCTGAGTGCCTTGCATAATACTCGGACGATGTTCTTCAGTGAAGCGCCGCTTAGGCGCTCACCAGAACTCGGGCGCCTCGAGCGAGCACCCAGTTGAAGCAAATTAACCAAACCAGATGGTCAACACTGATGCAGTTGAGCAGTAGCTTAGTTGGTTTGATTGAATCAACTAATCAAATCACCCACTAGGGCATTGGCGCCTCTTGGCACCTAGCGCTTTTTAAAACACTGGTGTAGTTTAAACAAGGAACTAAACTAATTATATCCTTTGGTCAAGAGATATACATAGTTAAATCACAAGTACATCATCTATTTATATGACTTATAGTGTGGCCAAAGATGTATGTTAATTTGGCTACAATGATCAGAAAGCCCATAAACTTTATCCCCTATCAGTGAGTGTCATGTATCTGGGTTATCCAAACAGTAGTAATGATGAAATGTTTTCAGCCAATTAAATATGATGTAATGTGCATTAGCATTGTTACCTTTTATATGATTTGGTAATGCTATCTGCTCATTCTGTTTCTTACTAAAATTCGGAGTTCATTTCAGATTCAGTTTCTGGCATATGATTGCTTCTTATTGATGCTATCTGCACAAAAAGTTTCTGGCTACTTCTATTGTTTCTTGCTGAATTTAAGTATTTGCTTTCCTTCACTTATATGGTCTTTCGCAATATTGCAAGTGGTACTTCCTTTAACTTTTTGTGCCTGTTTTTTGAACTTAATATCTTTTTATGCATATTTAGGAAAAAAAGTTGGAATGGGGTAAAGGCTTAGCACAGAAGCGAGAAGCTGAAGCTAATGCAAAAGAGTTAGAACTTGAGAGAGAGAAACCTTTTGCTCGTACAAGGTATGTTCATCTTACTCACACAAGATTGTTCATAGTTACTCATGCATAGGATGATTTCTTTGTTTTATGAATTTGATATTGAAAGGAAATATACGATTCACTTGCTTTTGATTGTCTGTTTTTGTCATGATCACTAAATTATGTTGGAATGGTTTCTTCCATGTTTTACATGTCAATATAAACTATTTGCTTTTGTTAGCATGTTCAGGGAGAATCTAAAAACTTGCATCAATAAAGTACTTAATGGTGTCATTGATTGTGTTGTAATTTTGTTAGTTTGTTGATCAAATAAACTGTTTTAAATTAATGAGAATGTGGTTATAGGAATGATTTGTAGATACTGTCAGGAAAACACACTGCAGTACAGCGTTTGAGAAGGAGTTGAGATAATAGGCTGCTTGAATTTCAAATGTTTTATTCAGATTAGAATATTTATTAAATTCTAAATAATAATTAGTGACAATTTTTGTATAGAACTTGATGACATGTGTATTTGTAATTCTAAGATGTGGCTTGTGCTTACATGTGTGGATGCAGCCAATAAGTAACACCACATATATGCCACTTATGTGGCTGCCTTAGTGGAGTGAGCTGGTAGTCGAGCCAAGTTAATCTAGCGGATTGATTTCACTTGTGGCTCATGTGTTCGCAATTTTTCCCATTTGCAATGTCAACAATTATTACCCCATGATTTGTAATTTTAGTGCCATGGTTAGAGATTCAAAAGTTCTTATCTAATTCCTTCATCGAGCATGGCATGTTTTCTTTGACATTGTTTAAGCATTCTGAAATAGGTAGGATGAGATGGCTAGTTGTTTCTTGTATGTTTTATATATTTGTGTAAACAGAGCCCTCACTTTCACATGCATTTAGCATATGCCCTAAGTGATGAATAGCTTTTCTTGCATTAAGCTGGATGCTTTATTCATTGTATTGTTAAAATTTTTGCTGATAAAAAACTCTTGTTCATGTGAGCTTTCGTATATCCTGCATATAGGATTATCTATGAAATGTTATTCATTTGCTTATATCTGCTATCAGGGATGATCCCGAGCTTGATAAAATGTTAAAGGAGAGGATTAGATGGGGTGATCCAATGGCACATGTGGTCAAGGTATGCATAAAATCTAGAGCGAGAACATTTATTACCAGATGGTGACACTGAACTGAAATGTTTTCTTATGTGTATGGTTTAGAGGAAGAGCTCAGACCTAATTTTGGAAGATCTTGGTGACAATGAGAAAATGAAGGAGTCTGGATTTATAATCCCTCAGACAATTCCCAGTCACAGCTGGCTAAAACGAGGAATAGATTTTCCCCCAAATCGTTATGGGACCAAGCCTGGTCGGCATTGGGATGGAGTAGATCGTAGTAATGGTATGTTAGTCTTGATTTCTCCCCCTTTTTTACTTTCTATTTATTTTTTCTTCCTGATCAGTTGTTTTTTTTATTACATCCCAGTCACAATGTAGTGCATGATGATTTCTTGTTGTGTGCCTTTATCACCTTCATTTGACAGAGTGCCATTATTTTCTCATTTAATATGCATAGTTAGATTATGACTTTATTTTCTTCCAGTTGTTTGAACCTATAATTTTAGAATTTTCTTTTCTATGCTAGTCAGATCAACAAAAATGCTTCTGTTGAGTTGTCTAGTAGGTTCATCAATTTTGAGCGCAAGACTGGAGGATGACCTTTCTGCAATCTGATGATTGAAACACACTCATCTTGCCTCCCATTTGATAACCTTTCCATCATTCCGCTTCCTTTCTAAAACTCATTGCATCAATTGTCGTGTTGTTATAGCAGTCAATGAACATAAACATCTTGCAGCTAAGCAAGTATATATGTTTTGCTTTTGCTGGTGGTTGAAGGATTCGAGAAGGAATTGTTCAAGAGGCAGAATGAGAAGCGAGCCACAGAGCGAGAAGCGTATCTATGGTCGGTCTCTGACATGTGAAGACTTGTTTACTGATATGTAGCACACTAAATCTTTCCCATGTACACTAAGAGTTGCATATCCCCGACAGTGCACTGTGCCTGGCCAGTTGTCATGCAACAATCATGGCATTGTGTCCATGTGCAATGAGGCGGTTGTTTTTGTGTCCTGTGATGGGAGCGATGAACTCCCACAGGCAAGATAGTTGCAAGCTGCTTTGCTTCGAAAGTTTAGTTTCAGGGACATCCGATGGGCATACGTTGCAGGCGAATTTGGGCGAGAAGCCTGTTAAAAACTCTGAAACAAATAAATCCATTGTTGGTTGCTTGCAGAGTTTGCTATCGAGGTTAATGTGCGCCAAACTTGTACTTGAAATTTATTGACTCATCGATGATAAGTGTGGCAGGGTTGTGACATCTGGTGCGGCCATCGTTTTATTACCAAATCATTAGTACATAATTCAAGGGGTTAATTGTAAATTATTTTTTGTAGTTAGTTATTTTTAGCGTTTTAGTCGTTATGTTTTAAAATATTGTATTGATATTTTATAGTTACTAAAGTAAAATAATTAGGTTTATTTATTGATGAAAAAATAAAAATAAAAGATAAAAAGATAATTTTAATGTTTGGTGGTGGATGATGGCGTTGTTGGCATCGGTGGTGGCAGACCTCTCTTATTTTGTATCTGTGTCGATATTGACGCAAATGTTGAGCGACCGTTTTCTGTCCATTAATGTTCCCTCAATAAGTTTTGTATTGTCTTCGATCATCTCATTGGCGAGTGGTCACTATTGTTGGATGAGACCATCACCTCTTTTGTCTCTCGCATTGACAGAGTCACTTCTCTGCCTTGACCATTATGTATGCTATTTTGATGTTCAATAGTGATGTTGGCTTCTCGTTGGATGCTTCGTTCCCAGATGACTTGGGGTCTTTACCAGAGCTGTTCCGCTCCTCTTGCATGGAGCAAACATCTCGTTGGTGGAGGAGTAGGGCTCCTCTTGCATGGAACAAAGCATCCAAGGTGATGGTCTCATTCAACAACAATGACCATTCTTTAGGAAAGTGGTCGAACACGGTACAAAACTTATCGAGAGAATATAGATCGGAGGGTGACGGTTACTTGACATATGCATTAATGTTGACACATATGCAAAGTGGGAGGGGTCACCTATCACCAACGCCAATGGTGTCGTCATTCGCCACTGAACATTAAATTTTTTTTTATTTTTTTTATAGTTTTTGATAAAATTAATATCGTTAATATAAATTAATCTAATTATTTTACTTTCATAATTATAACTTTATAATTACTTGTTAAAATAATCATAGGGATATTAATATAACTAATTATAAAGAGATAATATATAATTAGTCCTAATTCGAGTGCTTGAAATTGGCTCGATTACATATTTAAAGAAAAGGGCCAAAGTGCAGTTGGTACTTGAGTTAGAATTTAGCATGTGTGTTATAATATATAAACTCTGTGATGATTAAGGGTGCTCAAACGAATGGTCTGTTTTAGTTCGGTTATACTTTTCTTCGATTTGGATAGAACGAAATTGATTTTGTAAAATATTCTTGGATACTAGGTTTCACGAATTGATGATCAAATTAGATATATGTTGATTCAATTTACATGTCATAATTTCACAAGCGATGTAAGTTTAATTTCATAAATTTTATTATCTCGGTCCAATTTTATAACTCTTTATCTATTAACTTAATTGGATCAAGATGACTCAATTGGCCGAATTGGATTGATTTACTTAAAACATATATATTTTAAAATTGTTAAAGTCAAAGAGAAGCGATGAGAATAGAGTTAAAATAATTTAAAATTATAAATTAATTAATTGGTTAATTAAATTGAATTAAACTGACTTGATTAGATATGTTTGAATCGATTTGTTTCAGATTTATCTTATTTTAATCAAACTGAAAATCAATTCACTTCGATTGGAACCATCGTTAATGAGGGTAAACATAAACGATAAGTATTTAAAAATATGAAAAAGAAAGAAACACCGAGTATATCCAAAAGTATTAATGGGTGTTTTTATTTTTTTTCTCTTTTCTTTTCTTGGGCGCACGTTTATGTCGGTCCCCAGCAGAGGAGAGAGTTGGTCTTTTAAAAGAACTCGGACGACGTACGGAACGGCGGAGGCCCCACGTGTTGTGGGTCCGGAACAAGTGGGGTCAACCCCGGCAGTGGAAAAGAACACCACGAGAGAGAAGCCAGGAAGGAACGAACTTTCTTTCTTTGTAGCAGGCGACAACAGAAATCGAAGGGGCTTTGGGTCGCCTTTGATTGACGATCCCGTTAATAAGCGAGAGAGCGGTGAAAGGTGGGCAGCGATCCGACGAGGCGCCTCAACTCTCTCGGAGAATCGTCTTTCGGTTCCCCCAAGAAAGATGTCGATCTTTTCGAACTCCCACTCTCCTGAAAGGTGAGATTGCTTTCGATCCCCCTCTCTTTATTGTTCTTTACTTCTCTTTTGGGGGGAAATCGAGCATGTCTGGAGATGGAACATCCTTTTGTCCTTAGAAGAGGGATCCTTTGGTAAAGATGGTAGATACGAATTGATCGATGACTTCCTCGATCATCTATCCAACTACTATTTATTATCTGGCAAATTTTCAGAATGATTTGGTAAGCCGTTGTTTCCATAGTAGAAAGCAAAAAAATAAAAAGATGGAGACTGGGTCTTTAGATGCATTGGGGAAGAACAGCAGATGTTTGCAGCATGATTTTTGCTAATTTGATTAGGGGTTTTCCCACCAAACAGGAGATGATTGATAGAGCACAGCTACCAAATGCCGCCAGTGGTTCCATGTTCTTGCTGCAGAGTGTGTATGTTTCATTCTGCCAAGTTTAACTGGGGGCCAAAATTGAAGGACATATTAGGTGGCTACTAATTTCTATAACCATGCTTGTTTGATGCAAAAATGAACATGAACCATATATAGTATGAATGCCAACTCGGAGAAGATTGCGATGGCTGTAGATGTAAACACCTGATTATTCCATGAATGAGATGTTCAACTAAGATATAGTCGACTCTAGACACTATATTAAAGCAAATGAAAAGAAGGGGGAAAAAAAGAGAAGAAAATAGTCTACGGTATATAGAGAACCAATCAAATTATGTTTTCTTCTTTTTGAGGTAACAATCTCCCTTGTATGAATATATTTAAATTCGTCACTTAAAGATAGATACTTTAAGATACTTGGATATGCTGGTATGGAATGACTTTGAACTGATATCCCAATTTGTATCCTGATATCAAATTTGGTATTAGAAATAGGGAGTAAAAGATTATTATTTGGTATATTGTAAAAATGTCATAACCCTAAGTGGCATGTATTGAGTCACTTGGCGTGTCCCCAGAGGATCTTGCTTAGCTGCTAAGAATTTTCTCAAATTACTGACTTTGATGTTTGCATAGGATATAAAATTGTCATTGTCGGAGATGAGGTTGGGAAAAAAAGTAAGAAGTCAGTAGTACATAACTAAATATCTTGGCTTGTGTATAAGTTATAGGAGTAGGAGAGATAAGCAACAAAGAGGTGCATGCTACATTCATTTAAGATAAAATGTAAAAGATCTAGAGAATATTAATAAAGAATGTAGTGAGTTGCCATTGAGGATTTGGAAAGATGACTAATGGAAGTAATTAAATTGGTTGCTCTTGCTGAACAAATGAACTATAAATGGCAATTTGCCATTATGATGTTTCTTTTTTCCCACTAGACCAACCTCGAAGATGAATGTATGTTCCACGGAGACGTTAAGCTTCTCGAGAGCCTTCAAATATGGATCAGGGAACGGTTTGGCTCTTTGGCATTTGCTTCCAATTACTGCAGCATCAAAGAAATCAGTGAGACCAAGCATTGAAATCATAAGCTCTGCATTAGGCCTCGGGGCATTGGTGACTGCTGCATGCTTCAAGCCTCGATCTTTGACCCATTTGCATAGCTTGTGGAGACCTATTGCCTTCAACTGTTTAGATACTAACCTATAAATACAAAAATAAAATCTTCCTTAGTAAACATCGCTAATTTATATGATATTGTGAAGACAGAGGTGTGTATGTATGTACACTCAGGTTGATGGTTAGAATGAAATAGACCTACGGAACATAGCTTCCTTATCGTCGACAAATTTCATGGCCTTCTCATGATCCCAGTCAGGAAATAAGATTTTAGCAGTATCTTCACTGTGCCTTCCAGCAATATTTCTTAAGAAGAATTCTTCGTCTATGGGGACTCCATTATAGGAAGCTGAGATACCACAAGGATTAATTATCACAATGGAAAACATAAGGCACATCCTACCTCTTGCAGCATTTCCCGAAAGGCATAATAATGAAGAGGATCTGAATCGCACAGAGTTCCATCAACATCGAATAGAACAGCTTTGAGTGGAGCAAGTCTACCAAGAGAACTGCCAATATCGAGGAGACAAGTCTACCTTCCTTATAAACGACTATGAAGATCCAAAGCTTTGGCTGGCATTGGAAGAATTAGACAGGGTGGGTCGGTGCTGAAGAATACAGATATCGATATTGTTGCATCAGAAAAAGAGAGGTAACATGGAGTATTAGTTCTTGCCATGTATATGCATCTCTTTATACGACCGTAGACATTTTTCTTTTGATCATACGTGGAGATCTGGGATGACGATCAAGAAATTTGCAATGATATTTATTCATTGAATAAGGAGAATATGATGAAGAAATCCGATTCCTTGATCTACTGATCCACTTGATGATTTTGAATGGTAACTTTCAATTACTTCATTAAATTCTTGTTTTCCTTCTCGTGTTCGCCTTTGGCTTTGCATCTTGTTGAGGCCATGTCTAATACTTCGAGTACATATCTATCTATCGTATTTTGTTTTTTCTGTTCCATACAAGCATACATGGGGAAATGATCTGGCAAATAAAAGGAATTTTAAAGATGAAATAACACAAAAACAAATTTATATAAGAGAAAATTAAGTTGTAGTATGTAGTTGTGATCTCTGTACTCATCTCCAATTTTAAGGCTTACAGAAGTCTACTTTTGAGATCCATTCACCAATATCTCCTAATATCTAACTGTTACTGATGTATCGTATCCATTTACAAGGTTTTATAACCTATGAATATGTCAGTTAATTTAATTCAGTTATAAAAATTTTAATGGTTGATAACAACATCTCGATAATAAACTGCAAACCCATATGATCTAATCAATTTTTACGAACGCAAGGAACCGATGGGTACATTTCAATGGAAATCTGAATAACATATAAAGGAACAATTCAACACTATGTACTGCACTATGATAAAGAGTACAAAACATATTTAAGAGTTGCTGGAAGGCAACTACAGAAGCAAATGTGACCAAGAAATAAAATCAAAACAAATCGCAGCATGCTGCAAAGAAATTTAGTGAGTAGTTCTCAGATATGTAACATTTATACTACACGAGTGCCTAACAAGTTTTAAGTAATCTCATCTGTTCCAGGAGACGGAATCAATCTCGTCCCTTGCAGATTTGTACAATTCAAGCCTCTTTGCACACTGCATCCTGCGTTCCATCAAGGCTGGATTCTCATCCAAGATAGATGCGAGCTGCTTTCCCTGTACGGCAAACTAGCATTACAATCGTATCATAATAAAAGGACGCGAAAGACATGATCTCAAGTTATCAGTTGCAGAAACAAGCCAACCTCCTTTTTCCCCACTTGCGTGTAGAAATGATTGAGCAGAGATCGCTTGGCTTCTCGAACTTGACAGTAGACCACAGCTTTTGGTATAGTGTTTCTGAGTGTGTCTGATACCATGCTAATGTACGCGGATACATTTGATCCTATCCTCCTGAAATGTCCCTCGCCATATCGATCAATTGTAGGACCAGCAGGATTACTGTCATCAGGTTTTTTGCCAGTAGGATTACTACCAGCAGGGTTATTGCCCCTTTCCACCTCTTGCGGGAGCTTGCGGAAGAATTCCACTGTCAAGTATGAGGCCTCCATGTCAACAAGTCGAAGTGCAGTCTTTCGACTGTCTTCGCGGAATCTTTCCAGGGCTTCATATGCGGCAGCGGCTAACTCTGTTTGCAGAGTGGGGAACCTTCTCAATTCCTGTCAGTTGAATAGACCGGCGACTGATTTGCTATTTCATGGGAACAAATAGTGCTTCATATGATGACAAATGCATAAATTTTTACCTGAGTCTCTCCTATTGACTGCCTTACAAGTTCCTTTAAGACATAGTGTACCTGAGATAGGAGCAAGATGCTATCAACCGAAGAGAAAATATATCCTCTCCTCAAAAGCTTCCATTTAGGATGAGTGAGTTTGATGAGAGAGTGGCAAGTATATAAAAAGTAATCAGGCTACAGAGAGGAAACATACAGCATCAACGGATGCCTCGGCTGGGCCTCTGAAGTAACCAAGTCCACCTTCAATTAGACGGCGATATCCTTGCTCAGGAGCAATTAAGTGAGGCTGATAACCATCTGCTTCAGAGACCACCTTCTTTACATTCTGCAGCGACAGGTACCGGTCGAACGGAAGTTTCTTCAGAGCAGCAGGGAGTTGATTATCAAATACACCATAAATTCGATCACCACCAGGCCGCCTGTGCTTATGTAGTATAAATTTCAAAGAAAACAAATGTGATTGATTTGCCTATGTAGCTAGAAATCAAGACAATTAATGAAATGATATAAGTAGTAAAATTATCAAATCATTCACATTAAAGGCAAATATTCTAGGAGTGGCTCATAAAGAATTCGTCATTACATAAACGATAAGAAGTTCAAGACGAGACTAAAAAAAACAAGGCCTAGCAAAGCAAGTAATTAGATAGCATAGTATCTCTTCATGAATGAGATTAAAAAAAACGTGACCCTTAATATAACACAATGACAGGAAAAGAGATATTTGGGATTTGATGGTTGTTGCTGTGAATAAAATATAAAGAAAAGTATATATAAGTGCCATTGTCAACTGTCAGTGCCATAATTTATTTAATTGATATCTACAATGTATGAAAATATGAGAACCTGCACTATGCCTATCCTACCTTCAAAATTCCAGCTAATAAATGTGACAGACGATATGGTTCCATTTAATTGTAATAACCAGCACAAAGTAAAAGGAAATAAGTTTTACTTAAAAATGAGTAAAGGGGTAAATGTTAGTTTTGTGATAGTAAACGGTGATGTTTGCATGTGTTTGAAGAAATTATCAATACATCACATTTCATATATTGCAATAGTATGTGATTCATCAAATTCAATCACGTTTCTCCCTATTCTGACTTGGATGTCAAGGGTTTGAGGCTGAATCCTCATGCACCCCATGCAAACCTTATGCAACTCACTACAGAATATGTCATCCTATGCGGTAGCATCACACTTTTTAGATACCCATTAAAAAGAAAGAAGAGATTTTTAATGTTCAAGAGCAACATATACATAGCTTTGGTAGTTGCATCAATATAAATACACAAGGAAAATTGGTCTGCGATAAAAGAAACAACAAACTCACCCTCCATCTAGATGTTCTTTGAAGACTCGATCAAATGCTCGGCACATTTCCAATATGGTGTACAATTGAGCCTGATTCAAACTACAGTTAGTTTTCAATTTCTCTTCAAGAAAACTCAAAAATAAGGATATGGGTACTTACCCCTGCGTCAACAGCAATGGGTCTACCGAGATGGTTCATCTCTGCCTCAAGTTCATCTATGGTTTTATTTATTAAAGATGTGATGCTTGGAATACGAGACCTAATCACAGACTCTAAATGCTGAAACCATTTTGCAACAGTTTTAGAGTAAGTACATTTCCAAAATCATCACACAAGGGAAGCTTCTGATTTTGTAGTCAAAATAATTTACCTTTGACAGAAGCTTAGCCAGGTATTCAGAGCCCATTCTACTGGCTACATGTGAATAATCAGGACTAGTTGCAAAATATTCCCGTTCTTTTCTTCTGGCAACAATCATATCAACATTCTTGTTAATATCTGCCTGCGAACGGTTAACCACACCGACCCATGGATATTGTAGTCGATATGATCTTCCTTCAAGAACCTGAGAACAGCAGGGAAAAAAATAATTCATCACTTGAAAGGAATATATTGTTTGGAACAAAGCAAAGGGTTTAAATTCTTACATCTAGGGCATTTGTTCCCTTGTCCATCAGATCTAGCTTTGTTAAAACTCCAAATGTCCTTTCCCCTATCCCATTGTTTAAATAAATATTCATTAAATGAGAAAATTATCCTAGATAAAAAACATGATGCATAATGATTACAATGATACCAGCATCATCATTAATATTAACAATAACAACAACCAGATAGTAGGCAATAAGTTTTAACCCAACCATCTGACTCATTTGTTTGATATCGTTGCTGAAACAGCTTAAGCTATGTTCTTACCTGTCGGATCAACTTCTTTTGCAAGCTTCATTGCATCAGAAGTTGCAATATCTTGATTGGCAGGTGATATAGCTAGTATTATGCAGTTTGGCTGCAAAACAGAAATATTATAATTTTGCAATATATGGGATAACAAGTAAACTCATCTACTCTGTAAAAGGAAAGGAACAGATTAAAACCATCTAAAATAGCAAACAAGCAAATTTGACAAGGATGACCAAGAGTACACACAAAAAAAAGGTTTACACAAGAAAGAGAGGCATAATTACTGATATGTTAAAGAGATACCATTTACTGATATAACAAAAAAATGTGTACAAACACAAAGAGCCAATTAGAATGGTCATTGTTCAAGGTAGTAGTATGGTTACAAAACCACCATGATTTAAGCTTCACTTACTATTTAGCATTATATTTTGTATGTTTATAAACCTAGTTATTTAGTGTAAGGACAACTACAAATTTGTCTAAGGGGTCCTATTTGGACCAATACACCTCACAGATTGAGTGCAGATTCAAATATGAATCTCGATCAATTGAGCAGGATTTTGTTAACTATCCTTACTTGAAAAAAATGATTCCAGTTTTAGTTAACTAATTTTAACACAAAGAAGTTCAGTAAGAGTCTTCCCCCGTGTACATTCAAAGTTTTAAAAAGTAACTGTGCTTTTGATTACCAACAAAAGATTAAACTTGTAGGTTGTTTACAAAATGATGAAATGCATAAAATACCAGTGAATAAATTTAATATTCATTTTGTCCAACAGAATAACTTTCAGTGTCGATATTGAAATTTAACATTTGCAATTTAAAGGCTAACAAATTGCATAACTATTTGCTGCAAAATTGAATACCTTAGCAACATATGATCGAACCATAGTTTCAATATCCTGAACAATACTATCTGGCTGACCCTCTGTAGAATCAGTCATATACCAAAGTTAGATATTGATGATCAGTTATTTAAATAGGTCAGAGATTCAAAAATGATACATACCAACAGCAACCTTAGTGAGTCCAGGTAGATCAATCAATGTTAAATTCACAACTGCATAAGAATTAGAAATCAATGATTTGGAAGAGTGAAAAATTGTTCAAGCAGGTTTAGTGCGAAAACACAAGTAAAGCATATATAAACAATAAAAGGGTGAACAAGCCTTGATCTTGGCACATTGTTGACATACTTGTCAACAAAAAACCATCAGAAGTTAATAAAAGATTAGGGCCTTACATGTCAAACTTTAACTAGCCCTAGTAAATATGGTCACAATGTTCAATCTTTTTTTTTTTTTGTTGGCAAACACAATGTTCAATCTCAAAGTTGCACATTTTGATATGTTTAAACAATTTGTTAGAAATGACAATTAAGAATCAAATATGTACCAATGTATTTGGTAATTATCCATGGAAGTTGTGATAGCATCAAAGTAGGGAAGGGCTGTAAGGTAATTGTACTGTAGGAACATAGCGACAGCTATACAACATTAAATCTCAAGCTAATATTCTTATGTAGTAGCTATACAACATTGATGAGAAGAAACTTTCTTACAGGTTGGTCTCCATCTACAATTTGGCTCAAGATCGATGGGTAGTTCTTTGATGCTTCAACTATATTACTTTGATAGACCCTATAAAGCATATATTTCAAAGTACTTTTCTTGTCATGGGTGACTTGGCTAATGCCAAGGCAATAAACACAGCTCAAGATGTCAAAGAAACTTTCGAATTATCTGCAATATCTGTATTCATCACATGTCAGATACAGTAGTTTTTGGATACTCCTACAAAGCATTTCGAATACTCATATTTAAGTTGTATTTTTCAGTTTAATTTATTCATGTCATGTCATATATCTTGTTATTTGTATCAATGTCATATCGTATCAATGATATCATGTATCCATCCATGAAAATAATGAGAAAATATATGCTTGCAACAACTAAACGACTGCAGTGTAGGTCTGTCACCTAGGTCTTAACCCTATTTAACAACATAGCATAGAATTTATTAACCAAACAAATGTGAAAGAGATTACACCAAAAATAATAGTAGAAGTCATAAGGCAATTGATAGAAAAATTAAGCAAACCCTCTAAGTACCATTTGGTGAGTAAATGCTGAGATGAATTGGATGGGTAGAAATTTGTTTTGTTTTTCCTGTCAACCTCTCCGTTTCATCTTCAATTTCCTTGCGCACAAGAGCTGCATGAAGAAATTATGGAGTGTCATCATTAAGAGGCAACTTAATTAAATCTTACAAAGACACTAAAGCACATGGATAGTGTTGCTCAGGGTCGATCATGTCAAAAAATATATAATTCCATAGGCATAAATCAAGAAAATATACATAGCCATGAATCAACCATGTCATAAATATGCATATCCATGACCGTCTCCACTGTATTACCCAATAGATCAGTGAAGACAAGAGATTCTGCTGTGCTCCTTTTTAAAAAACGACTATAAGTTATAATAATGATAGATCAATCATAAATCCATAGTTCAAGAAATCAACGATTCATAAAAGAAGAACAGGGTTACACGAAAGAAGAACTTGAAAGTGATAACATAACATAATTAAGGAGAGAGTAACAGACAGAAGTCGGTGAATCTCCTCCTAGGAAGATGGAGGAACTCGGCGTACTCCACCTTTCCTTCATCAACCTTGTGCAGCTGTAGCACCAAGGGCCTCCTCGTGACGATCCCTTCAGATCAGAAAGCAGAGAAAGGAACGAACAAACATCAAGCAAAGACATGGAAACACAATAATCGAGACCCTAGAGCCACAGAGGCATACCAGAACCACGGGGAAGGAAGTCTCTCCCGACGATGCTCTCCAGGACCGAAGACTTTCCCGAACTCTGCTCTTAAACCGACATCAGGAACGACGCTTAAGAGATCAAACAGAGAAGAAACCACGACAAAGACACGAATAAATCGAAGGACGGGGAAGTCACCTGTCCTCCGACGACAACGACGGAGGGGAGCGCCTCCCACAGGGTGGGCAACCCGACGCCGCTCTCCTCGGCATCGCCGTGGTCGCCGAGCGCCGTGCACGCTCTTTGGATCCGGTTCACCAGTCCGATCAAGCTCTCCATCGCCACCCAAACCCTAAAGCCTCCGCGATCGAGGGAGCGAGAAATAGCGAGAGAGGAGACTTGGAGGAAAAGGCTTTCTAACCGAATCGACAGGGCGAGGGCGGCAGCGTGAGCGTTCGGAGTTGAAGACCACGGAACGAGTCATATCACGATCTCGCACGGAGAACCGTATGCGAGACGAACGGATCAGCCGTCCGAATCATCGACCGAGCGAATCCCATCCGTCCAAATCAGACGCCGTTGCTTCTGCGTCGGTTCCTATGCGCCCGCCTGAAGAAGAAATCGGGGGGAGTGGGTTGGTTGGTTGGTCGACTAAGAAGAATTAATCCGTGACGCGTGCAAACCCGCTGGCGTTTGAAGAAGATCGTGCGTGGGATTTCTCACGTGGCGATATAATCCATCGTCCGTTCTGCTTGATGAGAAGACGTGGACGGCGACGCGTGAGAGTGTTTATGTGGGACGATGAGAAGTAAAAGGCTGCGAGGGCCGTGACGCGTCTTTGGGTTTTGAAGTCAGAGGTCCGCCACGTCAGCCATTGTAGTTCTAGAAGGCTATGGGGACGCCGTTATTCCATTTGGCGGCGAGCTTTTATTTAATATCTTGATTTTGTTTTAAATCTCCCATCTCGACAATCTTAGCGGAGATAAAGACGGCTTTCAGCTAGTGAAACAAAGATTTCTAATATTTAAAATAATTAAATTAATAAAATATGGATCGATCTTAACAAAGTGTTTTTATCTTTATAAAAAAGGTTATTATGATGCTTTTATTTGTAAATGTATACAAAACATCTTGATAAGGTTAAAATTAATGTCACGAAAGAGAATAGTTTTAACTATTCTGGACTCATATGATGGAAGAATGTTTACAAATATAAGAAATAATTTTGAGGTGGAAGATGCTCGTGCCCCCTGTAGTATTAATTTTGTTTTTTGTGTTAAGTTTTGATTGATTAAAAATAATGATCATATTATTTATTCTTGATTTATGCATAATGATTATTTTAGAATCTCAATCATTATAATCTATGTTTAAAAAATAGTTAAATTATATTTTAATAATTTTCTTAATATATATGGATGTATTATAGATAAAAGAAACGTTTTGGGATATGTCGGGTGATTCATATGCATCTTTGTCATAGCAAGCAAAGTATGCATAAAGAGAATGCTTTAGGTTATATTCTGAATCTTGGATGCTCTTCGGTCTTAGATGAATGTATTATGTGCAAAGGGGATGTATGTGGAGTGCTTCATATGCTTTTTGGTACTTAATGAACATATCATTAGTGATGGGGACACCTTGAGGTGTATTAACTGCTTTGAATTTTTTTTTAATTTTAGGTAAATGCATTGTTTGCAAAAGAGGATGTCCTAGTGGTGTGACGGGCGCTTTGAATGTTTTTTGGTCTTGGATGTATGTATCATTTACAAAAGGAATGACATGGGGTATACCAAATGCTTCAAAAGATTGTCGATCCAAGCGAATGTATCATAGATAAATGAGATATCTTGAAGTGCATTAGGTGTTTTAAGCAAAATCAATTTTTATATAAATAAGTAAGACCAACTTTTATATAAATTTATAATATGTCTCTCAATATAAACAATGTGATAGTATGATTGTATAAAGGTTTACCCTTGATCAAAAGATATTAGGTTCAAATTCAAGAAAAACCTATCTTTTTTCATTCATTGTAAGATCCATCCTATATACAGTATATATATTTTGTTAAAAAAAATTATAATTTTTGGCACCAATTGCCTCCTAGGATGACTCAAGATTATGAAATTATGAAGGCTAAAATTATGTAAATTACTCTTCTAAATATTTATGGGGAGTTTCTTGGATATATTTGGGTGAAACCAAGGAAAACCTAAACAAGAATAATAACTTGAGCCAGATTTTTGATTGGGAAAAAAAAATCATGATCATTGTTGATAATGTGGATTTGAGATTAATCCATATTTCTACGAATAAAAGATAGAGACTCATTACCCAGATAGATTAAGTGTTATAGTGAAAGTCAAGAGAGGAACTCTCCACCAATATGTATCATGGGACTTCTTATGTTTGATTTTTCTATGACAATTATCTCGAAGATCAAAACTCAAACAAGAATAAATTTTATTGGAAGTGAGAAATGTGGTGTCTTATTTTATCATACTTCAATGAGCAGAAGATATCTTCTCGTGTCTCATAATTATTTAATTGGGTTTCATGTGATAGGTCTCGATCGATTGAAATATCATGTGATTATATATTTTTTTTTTATTAGTAAGCTCGATAATAAAATTGATTCAGATTAAAAATAATAATTACTAATTAAGTTTCATATGTCAAGTCTCGATCGATTAAAAACAACAATAATAATAATTATTATTATTATTATTACCTAAAACAATAATCATATCACAGGTGTACTTTGGTAGCATAGCCGATAGACTCGCTCGTCATTTTAAAAAATTGTATAATAATAATAATAATAATATTATTATTATTATTAAAAGCATGCTTCTGTTTTCATGCTCTATTGGCCCATTGGGTTTCTTTCACGGGAAGGAAAGAGGCCTCATTGGGTCGGTGCTACGGATGAGACACACGAGACCCAATAAAATCCGAGATCGACGCCGCTCTGCGAACCTGGCCATTTCCTCGCTGCCTCTCTAGCTGGGATCCCAAATAGGTTGAGATCTCTTCCCTTTTCAGTTGCTGTGGAGTTTATCTCATTAATGTACCTCACGCGTTTTCTTGATCAGTTGTTTGATGCATATTACTGTATATTTGGGTCAATTTGTTTTTCTTCCCCTTCTTTACCTTCTTTGGATCCAGTTGCTACTAGGTATCTGTGAGTCACTTGGTTGGAGACAGACATTGGAAGTACGATTTAATCTCCTCTAAAATCGCTTTAGTTGCAGTGATGGGAATCTCAAATATTTCCCTCATCTAACAGTCAGTTTATTACAATTTCATTTTACATGTATTGCTACGAGTATAGCTTTTTATTACAGGTTGTAACTGCCCGTTGATGGGATTTACATGCCTCAGTGAATTATGAGTAAACGTCTGACACCATAGATCAATATATTCTTAGTGTTTTATGTCGTGAAAGGAATTAAATAGTTGGCAGGAAAAAATACTGGAAGTAGGTTGTATAGCAGTTCCACCATATGTAAAAGAGTACACCTTCAAGAATATGGAGAAGAATATACGAGTCAGGACAAGATAATCTGGAAGTAAGTAGGCAGTATTACAGTGGTATCATACTTTTAATTTAGTAACCATTCCGGTTGATTGACACTATGTACTCTCTGTCATTGCCGGTGATATTATGAATGCAATGTGGTGTCTCGGAAAAGATCCTTATATTGCATAATATCAAGCATAAACCTACTGCTTTTCTGTCCCGTGTCACATCATATTCTTCTCCTCTGTGCTCTTTTCATGAATCCCCTGCTTTGTAGTGTTTTCGGAATATATTAGTTCTATAGAGCATCGGGGCTAGAAGAGCTTCTTTTGAGTGTTGGTGCGACAGGCAGAGCTATTGCTCCTAGATTTTTTTATGATTCTATTAATGTTATATTTTAGATAAATAGTTGTTGATGTTTTATTTATTATTAGATAATTGTTTTAGTTTCATATTAGAATTTTAAATTTGTACTTAAAAATATTTGGTTATTTTTGAAATTTCAATTTGGTTTATTTCTTGCTCTATGATATTGCTGGTCATGTTTGCATGTTCTTGTATCTCCACTCTGTTATCTATCTGCATGTAATGGGGCATGAACTCAGCACCACCATGTCATAGATATGATCATTCTGTCATGACGGGCACTGTTCTAAAGATTTATTTAATTTCCTATTTAGTTTCTTTTGTTGTTCATCAATTATCTTCTTTTTTTTTTCTGATGAAATGCACAGATGCAATAAAGTCTGATTCTTACACGTTGTTTCTGTTGCAGGTTTTTCCCCATAGGCTATAACTTGGCGGGATGGTTTCTTTTGAGATGAATGACCAAAAAAGTATGATCTCTGTGCTTTATGCATGCTTGTGACTTGTGATTTAGTTATCAAATGATTGTAGCTAAAGAATCCAACATTCCATGCAAAACTACAGTTGGGTGAATTACTGGACAAGTTAGCATAACATACACTACTACGTATGACAAGTAAATTAAAATCATAGGACTTTGAACCTTATTGTCATGGCTCAAACCGCTTGAGTTGTTGCATTGACTTGTTGATCCTTTGAATAAAAAAATTTATGGAATTTGGTTGAATGCTTTTTAATTGAATTAAAGGATTAGTACAACAATATGGATCTACAACAATTTGGATGCTTCAGATCAAAATTTTCTTGTGCTGATCCTATCCTTAATCAGGGTCCTTTATGATCAGAACATGTGGGTCTGTAGCACGGATGATACTATACCTTGATAAATAATATGTGTATGGTACTCTCTTTAGATACTGCTTAATTGCTTTTGACTCTTCTTTGAAGTTTTCCGAACCTTCTTTTGAATGTGAACTATTATGATAAGCTTATAAAAAATATGATTATCCTTAGTTTTACAACTTTTGAGAATAACAAATGGATATTACGATAATTTTAATGATATAGTTAGAGGTAGTTTTAGTCGAAATGTTATATATAGAGTGTTTTATGATATTTGGCCAATAAACATTATACTGCACTATGAAAATTAAATTGATTAAAGATGCATTGATATTTTGTTACTTGGATCTGCTAGAGTGGGCTTAATGATGGGCATATGGGTTAGTTTTAGTGTTTGGTGCTTATTTTGTTAATTTTTTTGGTATTTTTTACAGTAGTTTTTATATGACCCATGTTTCAAATTTTTTTATCGTTATCTTATTTTTAAGTTTTTAAAAGTAATTAGAAGACTCTTACAAGCCAATTTTTAGTCCGTGGTCCAATCTAACGTAAGATTTATATGATATGCCATATGTTCATAGTTCAAAAAACATGTTCAGAGTCAATCTTAAGTGGCATCTAAAAGTTGAGATGGTTGATAGGGCATGACATAAGCTTATTGTATAGTGTCTATAGACAATTGTCTTAAGTTTGTCGTGTCATACTTGACAGGTTAAAATTCTAACTTCTGATCTTGTAAACAACATTTGAGTCATTTTGAATTGAAATGGTTTTCTTAATGTAAAAAAACTGTTTCAGTGCTAGTAAGGTCTCTTTGTCTGATGGTTTAGCATGATAAACTAATCACTGATATTTTTCATTCATTTTCTTTTCTAAGCCAAAGACATGCAAGTGGATGAGACCAAAATTTGTAGAAAGCTAAATTGTCCAAAGTTTAGTATGCGAAAGAAGTTGCAAAAAGCTGACATTTTGAAATTAAATTGCAAGTATCATGGAAACCAGTTCTGTCACATTCTTGAAGCGGCAGATCATCAATGGACTGCTTATCACAGTTAACATTCGAGAGATCCTTCGCCTGACCACATTGAAGGTCTTTTTTCTTATCATAGTTGATATTGGAGACCTTTGGCCAGGGCTCTTGATGGGTCTGCAATGGCATCATTTAATCATGCTTTGTTGTAATTTTTCACACAAATTAGAAAATATATAATGTTGAACATCAATTAGCAATATGCTTTTGTTGATCCTTATATCTGTGAATTCTTGAGTTCATCTATTCAGTCAAAAGGGTAAACTTCTTGTGCTACATTGCACCCACCTACTATTTTGTCATGACATTCCAAATTTTCTTTTGCATTCACCTGAAGTTGGACTTTTTATGCTGTTGCAAGGACACCTGTCATCTTACTGTCCACTAGTATCTTTTTTGATGTCTCATAATCTATATTTTCCATCTGGCACAGAGATTGGGCTGGGATTGACTGGGTTTGGGATATTTTTCTCATTCCTTGGAATCATTTTTTTCTTTGATAAGGCACTTCTAGCAATGGGCAATGTAAGTTTGAACTCGTACTTCACTGGGTTCTCTTCTATTTTTCTTTTTTTCTTAGATTGTGAAGCTAAATATTAATTTTTTTGTGGACCATCAGATTCTCTTTCTTTCAGGTCTGATGTTGGCCATTGGGCTAAAATCGACACTACAATTCTTTGCCAAACCTAAGAACTACAAGGTTTGCTACACTATCGGTCAATCTGAATTTAAAGCATTTGCTTTTTATAACTGATTGAACCCTTTGCTCATTTTACAGGGGACAATCTCATTTGGAGCTGGCTTCTTTCTAGTCCTGGTCGGATGGCCTGTAATTGGCATGATCTTGGAATCATATGGTTTCATTGTTCTCTTCAGGTTTAACCCCTATCATCGCTCTTTGTACTTTGTTGGGTGTTGTTATCTTAACTAGTAAGCTTGTCATCTTTCGGGCTTCTGACTTGGTTTATTTGGCAGTGGCTTTTGGTCAATCCTTGCAGTTTTCTTGCAGAAGATCCCTATTCTTGGATGGATATTCCAACAACCATTTGTCACATCAGTGAGCACATATACTAAACCTATCCGATCAAATTTGTCTCTAAATCTAAACTTGGTGATATCTAATGTTTATTTCAATATTCCCTTTTCAGTTCTTTGATCGCCATGGAGGCAAAAGGGTGCCAGTGTAACAACAATTTGGCCAGATTAAAGTACTTAAGTCAAATATTATTATTTTTATTATTTTATCGAACAATTGATAGTAAGCAGATCTGCCGAATTATATGAGGGTTCCTTCTGTTCATCCTTAATCCAATTGAGTACAGAGTTGTTTGTGGATTAGTGATCAAGACCCTGTCGGAAGATTTATGTTGCTTTGAATTAGGTCGGGAAAAAACCGAGGCAATATTGATGGGTGGAAGAAAAAATGACAGCTCTGATCTGTTGATTTTGTTTAACTACCTTTCTGTCATTTTATTTCATTGTATCAATCAATTTTTAGCCAATATATTTGATTTCACTCGTCACTACCAGCTTAATTGTTTGCTCATTTGTAAATACTTTTTAAGTCCTGTGAGATTGTGCCTGTAATGCTGGAACAAAATACTTTTGCCCGATATCTTCAGGTTGTTTCATCAATATCTTATTGCTATACTACTTATCGTTTCATCAATATCTTTTGGCGGATATCTTGTTGTTTCATCAGTATCTTAGGGCTTGGCATATTCTGGAACATCGGCCAATTGGGTAAAGCGATTGTTTTCACATTACAAAGAGTTATTGTCGGCCCATGTTACTGAGGTGATGTGAAGCTTGCGTAGCAGAAGGCTTTTTGCCCAGCTAATTTCCTTGTGCTCCTCAATCTAATCCTTACTGCGGCTACTGTGGAATGGCCTTCTCTTGGTTCGTACTCCACTAACCCATCTAAATGATGCGAGCTCTCACAGCGTTCTCTCGAGTAACTTTGCTGCCTTCTCCCAGCTGGTCTTGGGTAAGATGGATCCGGTTACCTTTCAGCTAAAGGAGGAAAAGAACAAGAGAAGACTAAACAAGCACGTGAAGATTCTATATTGAATTCGATCATGACTTGATCCATATCAACCCGCTACAAGTCGGAACCGAGAACCAGTGTGGTAGTAGTGTATACGACAAGGAAATAGACATCATCCCAGGCGAGAGGTGATGGCGAGGGCGATGACGGCGAGCTGGAACAGGTCGTAGTTCACCTTGGTGAGCGGCGACGTGATATCCCCCTCTTGGAAGCTATCCTCGCACTCGCCGGGTGCGTCCACAGCGCTGCTTATGTACACCTTGGCATCAGCATACCGACCCGACTTGATTTGCTTGACGGAGTTCCTGAAGCTGGACGCCGCGTCGGAGTATAGCTCTCGGCAGGTCTGCAGGCAGGACTTCCGGTACGTGCTCAGCTGCTTCTCCTTCAACAGCGCCTTCACCCTGGACTTGGCGTGCGTCGCGTTGGCCTTCGCCAGCTTCAGCGATATGATGGCCAACCCCCGAAGGTCGGCGCGCTTGCTCTTGGAAACCGACCTCAGGGCCTGCGTGCAGAAGGTGTAGTTCACGTTGGGGTCGTCGTCCGCGATCCGCCTGCAGGTCTCATCGACAATGTCGGGGTGGGTGGCGGCCGTGGCCTTTGGAGAAGAGCCTTGGTGGAGGAGAAGGAAGAGAAAAAGGGTGAGGAGGACGGAGGTGAATCTCATCATCCTTTCAGATGATAAATGAATACGAGGGAGGAAGAAGAATAACAACAACAACAAAGAAGACGTGAGGCTGAGGAGATAGCAGCCATCAAAGGAGAAGTTATATAGTGGAGCAGTGAGATTTATGCGGAGGAAGAGGAGAGCGCGTTCTACAGACAAGTTAAGGTCCCGAACAGTGTCTTCCTTCACCGTGTGATCTACGAATATCCAACTTGCGAGGCTCCGAAAACGGGCCTGCCCACTCGATGGATTGTGCTACACGATGTTGTCCAAATAAGCAATGCATGCTTTCGATGGAAGGGTAGAACGAAGGGTGGGCGCGCTTACACTGCAGGAAAACACTAATCAAGTGTGCAAGCCACGTTATTATTGTTTGGTAAGTGTCGACGCTTTATAGGCACCGCACCTTTTTCTAAGTTTCCAATTTGTTATGATAAACTAGGAGGTCGATATATCACAGGTCAAGGAGACAGATTTCCTTGAAGCGAGGGTGATCAAGGAGGCTGATCCTCTCAAAACGATCAAGGAGGTTGATCCTGATTATTATCATCTTATTTTCTCTCTTTTCTTCCACGATAAGATCTTAGGGTCTTATCATTTGATATCAAAGCCCTTTCTTCCACGATAAAATCTTAGGGTCAACCGTACCCCTGCTGCTTCCCTTCTCCACCACCATTGCCACTACAAAGCAACTCGTTCTCCATAGTTGCCGCTGCTCCTCGTAGCAGCGGCGTTCTTACTGTTCTCGCTGCGTTCTAAAAATAAAAAAAAAAATAAGAGAAAGAGGAAGAAGAAGCCGCAGCCACGCACCCCTGCTTCCGGCCAGCCCACTGCCGCCCGCCACTGCAAGGTGACTCCACCGCTACCGCTACGACCTGGCCGCTCGCCGCCGCTCGTTCACCGCCGGTGGCCTCCCACCCGAGCCACCACCGCTGCCTGCTTCTCCACCGTCGCCTGACTCCCCTAGGGTCGTAGCCGCAACCGCTCGACCTCCCCTCCTCGACGATCGTTGGTGACGCTGCTCCCAGCCGCGCCACCATCGCTGCCTCCTTCTCCATGGCCGCTCGCCTCCCCTTGGGTCGCAGCCGCAGCCGCTCAACCTCCCCTCCTCGCGGCGACCAAAACAGGGCAACCGAGAAAGGGCCGCTAGCGCTATTTCTAGCCAGCGGACCACCCCCTGGCAGCACCTAGCCTCGGCGCTCCTTTTCTGCTCCTCGCCCTCGACGATCTTGTTCGCAGCCACAGCCGCTGGTTGTCGCAGCCACTCCTTGCAGCGGTTGCAGAAACAGAGCTTCCTCTATTGCCGCAGCCCCTCGTCGATCGCAGCCGCGACCCTCGGCCTCCTTCTCCTTCTCCACCGCCACCGTTGCTTCCCGGCCGCTCGACCACCGCTGTCGCTACTCCCCTACCACCAACCTTCTCCTCTCCAGCACCGCCACCCTTGCTTGCCGGTAGCCCGCACCCCTGCTTCTGCTTCCTTTCTTCCCCACCGCCGCTGCAAGGCAACTCCTCTACCACCCTGCCACTGCAAGCCGACTAAGATAAGATTTTTTACTTCTTTAATAAAACTTCTTTAATAATTATTCTTATCTTCTATTATTCTTTAATAAAACTAAGAGAAAAGCGAAGTTTCGCTCTTGCCTTTGGCCAGCAACCAACGTCGCTGAGAAAAACGAAGCTTCGCCCAACGACCAATGTCGATGTAGTCATTTCACATATAAATGTATTGAAGCATTTTTTATTTCTTCAATAAAGCTTTTTCACTTCTTCAATAAAGCTTCTTCAATAATTATTTTTATCTTCTATTATTTTTATCACTTCGCAGCCAACGGACCACCCCCTCGTCACTTCTACCATCGGTGACTCTTCCCCAACTGCGCCACCATCGTTGCCCCCCCTTGGGTCATCGTAGCCGCAGTCGCTTAACCATCCCTTCTTGCAGCGATCAAAACAAGGCAACCATGATCGCCATATCCACCATCATTTCCTCAGCTACACATGATCCTTTGGCGTCACCGGCGCCTCCTTCCGCAATGCGCCAGAGATAGAGTAATGTTGCCTTTCATCCGTGTCGTCGCAGCCACCGCAGTAGCGCTGCCCCCAGCCACACCACCATCACTGCCTCCCAGCCCTCAGCAGTAGCGATCCCTCCATGCAGCAACCACAATAATCATCGTTGCCTCCCATCCGCACCGTTGCAACCATCGCGACAGCAAGCCCTTGGCGAGGTTGCCCCTAGCCACACCACCGTTGCTGCCTTCCCTTGGGTTCTAATTGTCGCTATACGTTGCCATCACCGCAGCCTCAACCCGGCTGCTCGGCGATCGCCCCCTTTGGTCGTAACAACTGCAGCCACATCGATGCAGTCACCTTCTAGCCCTCGACGCTCTCACCCCACGCAACGACAGAAATAGGGCAGCAACTCTTCCTCCAATGCAGCGACCGCAGCACTGCCCTCGGCATCCACCTCCTCGGCAACTTCGCATCGACAGTGCTGATACCCTTGACCGACATCAAAAATAGGAGTTGAGATTACAGATTTGTAGTTTTACGCAATGGCCACCGATAACTCAGTAAAAGTACAAATGAAAGCATTGGAAATCAAAATTGATAATCCACTGCAAGAAACACTTAATGATTTCAAAAAGAGCCTATTGGAGAGCCTTAGCAAATTTCAACAAAATGAGGGCTCAAATTCTACGTTGCACAGATCTGAAAATACAAGAAAAGGGTCCCAAGATTGTGACACAAACTACTCACACATGAAGGTGGAATTTCTAAGATGGGAAGATGGGAATCCGACTAGTTGGATCTCTAAGGCGAAATTTTTTTTTCGTTTTCACAGAACCCTCGAAGAATCTAAGGTAGAAGTGGCCTCAATCCAGCTTGATAGTGTTGAATCTCGTATTTTGATGATGAAACCACTTGACATGTGTTTATGTTTTAATCTACGTTTTGAGTGACGCAAGATGCTCCGATTAGGATGAGACAATTAAAGCAGAAAAAATCATGTTGTACCGGAGGAACATGTCAGAAGATTGGACGTCGGGCCAGTAGATCGGTCGACGTATCGACAGAAGGCTTCGGGCCGTGGACTCGGGCATTAGGCCAAGAAGAGCGGGTATTGTGCCAAGGATATCGGAGTTGCGGAGTCAACTAGCCGATTGGGCAATAGGCAGTAAGAGAGGAGAATGCACCGAAGAATCAGACGAAGCGTCGAGAGACCAATGACATGCCGGACAACTTGGTTAATTGCTTAAGATTAATTGTCTCGATCGAAGTTTTGTTTTACATGTGCAGGATTAACTACGATGGAAGTAAGAAATGCAGCAGGAGTTGCGCCGGAGTCAAGACTATGATCACGTTGGGAGTTCGAGAGTTTGATGGAAGTCCGGACGGTCGTCGGAGGTTCTGTGGGAATAAATCCGAGAAGTCCAAGAGCTTGCCAAAGAAGCTCGTCGGAACTCACCAAGTGGATCATCGCAAGTCCAGGAGTTTGCCGGGAGTCCGTCGGAGCATCGCTGGAGGTTCGTCGGATGTTCGCCGGAAGAAGCGATTGACGCACCGGAGCAAGTTACAGTAAATGTCTTAAGAAATTCGTAGTTAGCACGATGATTAAATTAGAAATGGGAGGTGATCCCATTAACTTAATCTTGGGGCAATTGGGCCCTTGACAGACCCAAATTGGGCCGAATGGATCAGCCCATTCGGACCCAGATTTCTTGGCCAGAGGTGGCACTACCTGGGTCGGCGGTGGCACCGCCTAGGGCTCAGTCTCCGAGCTTTGGCTGGTTAGTGCAACCGCCTCTGACAGAGGTGCAACCGCCCCTGACAGGAGGTGGCACTACCCAAAGGCTCAGTCTTCGAGCTTTGCCAAGCGGTGCAACCGCCCCAGTCAGGCGGTGTAATCGCCAGACCCCGAAATTTCGAGAATTGACAGTTTTGAGCTCGGAATTCAAACTGGGTTGGGGCCTATAAATACCCCACCCTTTTAGCAATGACTGAGTAACCAAAATCCACCGAAATCCTGATCTTACTATGTGATTTTTAGAGCTCAAAAGTGTTGTATGAGTTAGAAGTTCTCCTCCCTCTTTTCTTCCAATTTCTGATCTTTCAAGAAAGGAGAGAAAAGTTTATAAGGGTTGTCTCCTAAGCCCGTCAAAAGGAGTGAAACTGTAAAAGGGTGGTTGGCCTTCGCCTATTGAAGGAAGGCCTCTAGTGGACGTCGGTGACCTCGACGGTGGAGGAAGCCAGAAGTGGATGTAGGTCAAGATTGACCGAACCACTCTAAAATTACGGTGCTCTCTGGTTTGCATTTACTTTGAGCATATTATCTTTACTGCAAACCTCCTCAATAGCTTACTGCCTTCTGCGCATTTACGATCGTGTTTCAAAGTTCAGTATATTCCGAATCGGTGTTTAGACGTAAATCAGTTTTATCGTACGGACATCATATTTCAGTTTGCGCTTACATTCTGATTTCCATCATAACTGCAAATTGCCTTTATAGATTCGCTTTAACTGTATCTTTCTTGATCACAAGTTAAAGTGATTTACGAATCGGGTTTTCTATCGAAATCGCTTTTATCGTACAAACGCAGTTTAATCGTCGAAAGTTTTTCGCTGCACTAATTCACCCTCCCCCTCTTAATGCTCCTGATCCTAACACCATTAACTTAATCTTGGGGCAATTGGGCCCTTAATAGACCCAAATTGGGTCGAATGGATCAGCCCATTCGGACCCATATTTCTTGGCCAGAGGTGGCACCGCTTGGGTCGGCGGTGGCACCGCCCAGGGCTAAGTCTCCGAGCTCTGGCTGGGCGGTGCAACTGCCTCTGACCGAGGTGCAACCGCCCCAGTCAAGCGATGCAACCGCCAGACCCCGGAATTTCGGGAATTGACATTTTTGAGCTCGGAATTCAAACTGGGTTGGGGCCTATAAATACCCCACCCTTTCAGCAATGATAGAGTAACCAAAAACTACCGAAATCCTAATCTTACTCCGTGATTTTTAGAGCTCAAAAGTGTTGTATGAGTTAGAAATTCTTCTCCCTCTTTTCTTCCAAGTTTTGATCTTTCAAGAGAGGAGAGAAAAGTTTGTAAGGG